GACGCCCAACAGCCTCCCTTCCTCTTATCCTGTGTCCCCATCATCTTCCACCCAAGGGTTTCTGCCGATGTAGTGGATTGAATTCACAAGCCATAATCTTGATGTTTCTCTTCTGAGCATATTTTTGTCACCCCCCCTCCCTATGGATGGGGTAAGAATTTTCTAAATAGCAAAGTTCTAGCTTTGTTTTTGTCACACATATTTTTTTCACTTTATTGTTCTTTAGTTACATTTTTACCAGGAACAACAGGGAGAAAACAGACCACACGAAAGGATGTTGGCGGCGCTGGTTACCTCGTGGAACGGTCACGGTCGCGACAGAACCCAGTATCAGTATTCAGAGCTTTATTTGGAGGAAAAGGGGGGAAGAGAGGGGACCAGGCCTGGTGAGAGAGAAAGATGGTGGGGTGGAGGAAGAGGGGAGCAGAGCAAAGCAGGGAGCAGAGAGCAGAGGGAGCGTGGTGTCTGCATCCGGCTTTTAAGGCACAGATTGCATGACTACGCTGTGCATATGTAGTCGCCAGCGTCCCCTGATGATGTACATGTGCAGGAGTGAGGGCAGGATCCTAACACCTTTAGCCCTTTGCTTAGTGATGTCCTCAGCACTGCGTCTGATTCATTGCTTGCTAGTTGTTGTGGTTTGAATGGGAAGGTTCCCACAGGCTCCTGTTTCTAGTACTTGGTTCTCAGCTGTGAAGATCTTAGGAGACAGGGATCTGGCTACTGTTAGTAGGTGACTAGAGGTGGAGATTGAGAGCAGTCTGGCCCCTGGTTCTACTGTAGTGCGCTCTGCTTCTCACCCTCTGCCATGTGAGGAACGTCTACCACACCCTACTGCCATGAGCTGTAGAACGCTTTATACATTTATGATGATCTGAAACTGTGAGCCAAAGTTAACCTTTCTACCCCCACGTTGTTTCAGTCAGGTATTTAGTCACAGTGATGAGAAAGTAACTAATACATACATTCTATTTTCTTCCAAACAACTTACCTGTTTTCTGCTCTCATACAAAAAGGTATTACCTCCCTTCCAGGTCCCAATAAGATGCCCCTTGTTTCTACCTTTCACATCAGAAGGACCTTGCTGGTCAAACTTCTAGCAGCTGTCTGTTCATAAAAGCATGCATGCTTTCTGAGATGATAGACATTTTCTCTGAGCCTTCCTCTGTTTTTCCTGAGCCCTGTCCAGAATTTCCTACATTTCCACCAACAACCTCTCAAGGTGTTCTAGGCTTTTCTACTGCACATCTCCAAAGTTCCCTGTTACTCACTTTCAAAGCCATGCCTGATTTTTCAGATCTTTCAGCTGCATCTCTCTTCCAGGGGCAAATCTCTATTTACTTCCATACATGCTAGAACAAAGTGCCCCCAGCCACATGATACATATAGCGTAGGTTTATTATTCACCAGACTAGAATTGAGAAGCCTGAGACAAGGTATCAACTGGATTAGTGCTGAGGGATGGGAGGGGCCTTTACTCCTGACTTTGTCCTAAGCGCTGCTGGGTTTAGGTAGTCTATGACACTCCTTGGCTAATATGGGAATCACCAAGATTTTACTGCCATATGCTTTTATTGCCATACGACATTCTGTCAATGTTTCCAAGTCTTTTTTCTATGCTAGTCTATATTATAAGAATATTAGTTATATTGAGTTAGGGCCCACTCTAATGATCTTATGTTAATTGACTCATTCTGTGTGAAAGTTGATTTACAAATGAGGTTGTGTTCCAAGGTACTTGGGAGTAGGGATTTCAGCATGCCTTTTAGGTAAGTACATCATTTAATTCATCTATCTTGTTAATAAATTATAAGCAGGGCCTAGCAATATGTGAGGATTTCAAGCCCTCATTAAAGAAAACATAAGTAGGGGTTGGTGTTTACTTTTTAACTATTCTATTAGTTTAGTAGGTAGCAGATATTTTACAGCCCCACACCAAACTAATGGAATAGATAATAAATACATATCTTGTAATTGAAAGCTAGCATTTTACACAATATAAATGTTGGCAACAGTCTATAGCACCATGATCAGGAACTATAACTTATCACATGATCTATTCATGTCACACAGCAGATGTAGCAGATCCTTTAGAATGTGGTACACAATAGTAGATACATTGATATTCTAAGTGATTACAATTTCCATCATGTTTTAAGTACTCCACAACTGGGTAAATGCATCAGTAGACAGGTACATGCATTACTATGTTTACAAATCTGAAAGAACTTGAATAATTGCATGTAATTCTATAAGAAGGTTGGAGGCCAATGGAATTATTTTTTAAAAGAGTTATAGATAATTTCAATTTAATTTGATATGAAAGTCTGTATTTTATTTTACTCATCTAAATTTTATCCTGAGAGGATACCTCAGGATTCACTAGATTCTCAGCTGGTTTTTATACATAAAATGTTCAGGAACAGTATTCTAGATGCTGAAAACAAAGAATAAGCCATTTAAGTTCAGTTTTGTGAGATGAAGAAAGAGGAAGAGGGCAAACAACAGAAACAGAAGAAAAGCTGGGCAGTGGTGGTGCACGCCTTTAATCCCCCAGCAGTTGGGAGGTAGAGCTAGGTGGATCTCTGTGAGTTCGAGGCCAGCTTGGTCTACAGAGCGAGATCCAGGACAGGCACCAAAACTACACAGAGAAACCCACCTCAAAAACCCAAAACAAAAAACAAATAAAAGCAATAACAACAACAACAAACCAGAAGAAAACCAGCAGGATTTTAAATTGTCAGAAGGGTCAAGTGCTCAAAACATGTTTAGGAGGAATGTGGGAACATGACCAAAGTGGGAGACATAGGTGACAATGTAGGACTTCACCACAGCAGATATGATAGAGAGCTCCTAGCAGGAGGAACAGATACAGTGACACTGAGGAGAAGCCAGCATGGAGAGATCATGAGACAAAAGCTGGAATGGCTGGAGTCAAGTAGTGGGGAGGCAGATCATTTTAAAGGAGGAAAATAGGAGAAAGGATTCTTGAAGCAAGTTTGGGCTTCCACGAGAAGACTCCATTGTATACCAATTGCATTACACATCCTTGAGAGCTATCTGTGATCGCAGTAAAACATACATAACACAAACTTTATGACCTTAACCATTTTGTGTACAGCTCAGAGGTATTAAATGCATTTGTGTTGCTGGGCTACCATCACTGTCAACCATCTGCCCATAAACCCTTCTCATCTTTCAAGACCGAATCTTTGTGCCCATTAAACACAAATTCCCCACCCCTGCCCCGAGCCTCCCATCTTTGAAGATACAGGAATAAAATGCGTTTTACATTTTAAATGTGATTCCAGGGGAGATGGTGAGATGGATAAGGGTACCAGTATGAGAAAATGAGTCTGGATCCCCAGCACTCATGTAAAAAGCTTGGCATGGATGACTGTGTGTACTGTTAACTCCAGTGTCATGGGGGCAGAAACAGGCAGACACAGAGAAATCACTGGGCACAGAGTCTAGCTGTAATGATGAGGTTCAGATTCAGTGAGAGACTGTCTCAAGGTATAAGGCAGAGAGCAATAGAGGAAGACACTAGATGGTTTCCAGAACGGAAATTCTAACAGGAAACACTGTTAGAGAAGTTAGAGATGGGAGACAATGGTGAATGGACTTTGGTGTGAGTAAAGGATGGGTTGGACTTAGATTTCCGCAGGAAGTCAGAGAGGATGGGGTGATGTGTTAGAGTGACTGTGGGGGAGGACTTCTGTTGTCTTGTAGACACAACTAGTTTGAACTGTCTCTTTAACATTCAGGCAGAGATGTCACCTGGTTCAGTATGTATTGAGTGTCCTGGGGAAGTCAGTTAGTAATTAAAAGCATGGCAATGAGTGCAGTAATTGAGGGAGATTATTTAGAGAAGAGCCCAGGAATAATCCTCTGGACATTCTCTTCTTCAGAAGTCAGATTACAAGGATGAGAGCCCCATGCATGTTTAGCCATGGTCTTTTAGCCACAGTCTCTTAGGTAGCCTCATGATGCAAACATGTAGTTCTGGTCTTAGACAGGAAGTAAAGCAACCAGCTTTCTTCTTTATATTTTATTTCATTAAAAAGAACAAAATGATTAGTTTCTGATATATCAATTTCAAATCCCATTGTACCTAGCATTAGCCATTTGCACTGGGTGTGGCTTACAGAGGGGATGCTGTCTCCCTTGTTAATTATGGCTGTGTCTAAGATGGAGCTGAAGTAAGAGAGGCATGGCAGAAGTAAGAAGAAATTGTTAACAATTTATCTAGTCAACACTTCTTATACTGTGGAGCACTTTATACGAATGTAACTAATGTAAGGTGTTCAGGGAAAGAGGAGATCAATATTTTTTTGTGACAAAAACGCTTTGATAAGCTGGCAACATGGCTGAGTGGGTAAATGCTTATCCCACAAGCATAAGGACTGAGTTCAGTTCTCTAGAACCCTCCCTCATAAAGGACCAGACCCTGCTTTTATGGAGAGTTAGAAGGCAGGGACAGGAGACACTCCAGAAACTCATGGGCTAGTCCACCACACCCAGTGTTAAAATAGAGAAGCCCTACCTCAAACAAGGTGAAGGTGAGGATAATACCGAGTTACCCTTCGACCCCCACACACATGCTGCACTGTACAGGTGTCTGCGCTCACACATACCTCCACCCAATAGCTCTGACTGTCTTTTGTTTTGTTTGTTAATTCAAGAAGCTAAGCATTCATTTGAGTTTTCCCTGTCAGAAAATACAGTATATTTATTTCATATCTCAATCACTAGTTTACTAATTATTGGACTATTTGGAAATCTCTCACCCTTTTGTTGGAGAAAAGCATTGTTTTTTTTTTCCTGCACATGTTACTTTTTTGCCATACTCAAACATTTGGGAAATGGAAATAGGGAAGCAGTGAGCTTCTTAGAAAAACTGTAGATGAATGAAAGGGGAACTATGAAATTAGCGACACACAACAGGAACTGTCGATGTGCTGTGTTACTGCTGTTGCTTATTTTTTCTCCCTTGCTAGGAGACCTGTTCTGATGATGTGTGTGGTGCTCACCACGCTCCCCAGCTTCAGCTTTTCTATAGCAGTCACCGAGGTATGCAATTTTCATTTCTTCGGTCTTAAAATGTCATGGTTTTGATTTTCAAGAGAGTAGTATGCTCAAAACATTTTCTAAAGTTGACTTTACTCCAATCTTCTTCCAACTTGATATATATGTACATATATATGCATATATGTATAATCCTTATTGTAAGATAATTATTACTTCCATGATTTGAGGGATAGACTGGCATTTTGAAATACATATTTTTTTTCTGTATTTGTGTATATGATACAAGAGTATATTTCAAAGTCATAAAGAGTCAAAAAAATCTCAATCTACATTCTTCATAATTATCTACACAATTCAACACAATTATCTTTGGTAAGTTACCCATTGATAAAATTTTTGCACGTTAATTAAGTTGATAAGCCTTTTGTTTCGATGAAATACGGCTTCAAAAGTTTTCCAGCCGACAGTCAGACCCTAGGACAGGACTATTATAGGCAAAATTCACAGGCTGTAAGAACCTCAATTTCCACAGAAGTCAGGGAAGGCCTCACCAATGAATGACATTATTAACTTGCAAGGTATTAGGAAAGAGGACACCATCATCTTTGGGGAAGGGTGGGGGGAGGCATTCCCAGAAGTTCTAATTTCAGTTCATAAAATGATGGTATATCTGGAGTATGATAGCTTTTTGTTTCATTATTTCTTAAGATGTCCTCTTTTTTTATTAAATTGCCTTTGAATAGTCACACATTAACAGAAAAGTGCTTGAAGCATAATTGTATAATATCACTGCAATGTCACAAAACATATCCCTATACCAACATCACTCAGGTGAAGAAATGCAGCCTGAGCAGCTGCATCCCCACGGGCCCTGCCTCCCTTGCACGATTAATTTGACCATGACTTCTATAACAGAGACATTTATCTATTTTTTGGATGTTCTCTTGGGGAAGTCAAATTATAACTACACTTATTGATTACATAATATATCTTCTATTTTACTCAAAAGTATAATATAAGGGTCATTCATGTTTTTATGTCTAGTTATAGTTCACTTATTTTCGTTGCTATCGACTCAAGTACTTCATCTTAAAAGTCATTATAATTTCTTTATTCTTTGGTATTGGGATTGAACTTCTGTGGGTGTGAAGCACATACTTCACATCTGAGGTATGCCAGCCCAGCCCAAGGCTGCAATTTACATTTCAGTTGTACAGTTCTATTCTGTTGTTGTTGCTGCTGCTGTGGTGAGGACTGAACTTAGGAGGCAAGCACTCTACCACTGCGCTACATTCTCAGTCCCATCAGAGATGTTCTTTCAAAAAATGGTTTATATTATTATTATTATTATTATTGTTATTTTACATCCTGACTACAGTTTCCCCTCCATCCTCTCCTCCCAGTTCATAACCCCTACCTCTGCTCTGTCCCTTCATCCACTCTTCCTTCATTTTTCTTCTGAAAAGGGCAGTCCTCCCATGGATATTAACCAAACATGGCATAAGCCCCTCCTTTCATATTAACTGGACAAGACAACCCAGTATGAGGAATAGGGTCTCAAAAGCTGGTAAAAGAGTCAGAGGCAGCCCCTGCTTCCACTGTTAGGAATCCCATAAGAAGACCAAGTTACACAACTGTAATATACATGCAAAGGGCCTAGGTCAGTCCCATGCAGGCTCCCTGGTTGTTGGTTCAGTCTCTGTGAGCCCCTATGAGCCCAGGTAAGTTGATTCTGTGGATTTTCATGTGGTATCCTTGACTCCTCTGGTTCCTACACTCCTTCACCCCCCTTTTTGTTAGGATTCCTCAAACTCTGCCTAATGTTTGACTGTGGGTCTCGACATTTGTTTCCATCAGTTGCTGGATGAAACCTCTCTGGTGACAGTTGGGCTAGGCACCAATCTATGAGTGTAGCAGAATATCATTAGGAATCATTACATTGACTTTTTTTTTTTTTTTTGCCAGTCATGTTTGGTTCTCTCACAGGTGTCTGGGCTATCCATCCTCTGGGTCCTGGCCCTCCAGGCAGTGTCAGGGGTGGGCTCCCTCTAGTGGCATGGGTCTCAGGATGGACCAGCCATTGGTTGGCCACTCTCACAATTTTTATGCTCCCCCCCCCCACCCCCCGCCCCCTAGCTCATCTTGTAGGCAGAACAAATTGTAGGTTGAAGGTTATATGGTTGGGATGGTGTTCCAATCCCTCTACCGAAAGTCTTTCCTGGTTACAGGAGAGGGCCAGTTCAGGCTAAGTATCCTCTATGGCTAGGATCCTTAGCTGGGGTCACCCAAGCAGTTCTACTAAAATCAGGAACAAGACAAGGCTGTCTCCTCTCTCTATATCTATTCAATATAGTACTTGAAGTTCTAGCTAGAGCAATAAGACAACTAAAGGAGATCAGGGGATACAAATTGGAAAGGAAGAAGTCAAAGTATTGCTATTTGCAGATTATAGGATAGTATACATAAGTGACCCCAGAAATTCTACCAGGGAACGTATACAGCTGAGAAACATCTTCTGTGAAGTGGTGGGATATAAGATTAACTAAAAAAAAATCAATAGTCCTCCTATATACAAACAATAAATGGGCTGAGAAAGAAATCAGGGAAACAACACCCTTCACAATAGCCACAAATAATATAAAATATCTCGGTGTCACTCTAGCCAAGCAAGTGAAAGACTTGTATGACAGTTCTGTTCTTGATGATAATACCAATTGTTTCCATTTTGAGCTAATGTTGCCAGGAACTTGCCTAAACATGTTTATAGATGTGATTGTATCAGTTGATTTAACACATAGGAGTAGAATGGATGGGCTATACAATATCCAACCATCCAAAGCATGGATTATGTCAAGCACGTTTCAAGGGAGACAGTGCTGCAGTCCGTCTGCACACTTCAGCAGCAGAGAATGAACGTGCTCTCAGCTTCACGTTCTTTGCCGGAGCTTGCTCTTGTTTTTAGCTAACCTGAGGGATAGGATTTTGAAACTCATTGTACTTTAAAATTTATTTTACACAAATTAGCGAGGTTGAGCATCTTTTCATCTTTGCTTATCTTTTAAGTTTGATTTGATTTACAGAGTAAACGGGTTGTATTTATGTATTTAGGAACACAGACACAGACACACACACAGACACACACACACACACACACACACACCAAAAAAAAAAACAATTAAAGAGAAAGAGGCCATAAATTTGAAAGAGAGCAAGGTGGAGGGTAACATGAGTAACAAGAGTCTGGAGAGAGGAAAGGGGAGGGGAAATGATGTAATTATATTATAATCTCAAAAAATAAAAGAACTATTTGAAAAAAGTGATTTGAAAGTGCTGTTTACATGTTCAAATTACAACCCTTTTTATTATTTATTATTATTATTATTATTATTATTATTATTATTATTTTCTTTTGGTTTTTCGAGACAGGATTTCTCTGTGTAGTTTTGGTGCCTGTCTTGGATCTCACTCTGTAACTCAGGCTGGCATCAAACTCACAGAGATCTGCCTGGCTCTGTCTCCTGGGTGCTGGGATTAAAGGCGTGCGCCACCACCGCCCAGCTTTTTTTTTTTTTTTCTTTTTTTCAGACAGAGTTTCTCTGTGTAGTTTTGGTCCCTATCCTGGAACTCCCTTTGTAGACCAAGCTGGCCTTGAACTCTTGGCTCCGCCTCCTAAGTGCTGGGATTAAAGGCGTGTGTCACCACACCTGACTACAACCCTTTTTAATTGTACACACTGTAAATATGTTCCTCCTAGGACTTACCTCCACACTTTTACTGTGTCTTTTGATAAGAATTTTTTTGCTTTAAAATAATCTGATTTATCAACTTCTTTCATTTGTATAAAATGCTTCTGGTGAGAGAATTGAGAAGATAGATGAATCTAAACTGTAAAATCCTAAAGATCTAATCTCATCATGAACTTATTTCATCTGTTGGAAAATATGTTTTTTCCCCCTTCTTCCTGTAGATCCACAGTCCAGCTTTAATGGTGTTTTGTTACGTTGTGTAAGGGTGGGTCAAATTTGTTTTTTTTTTTTCCCAATGAGCAGAGCATCATTTTGTAAAAACTCAGTCCTTTGTTTCAACAGAGTCCTCTTTATTATAAGTCAGGTGTTCACGTGTCTGAGCTGTCCCCAAGCTTTTTGTTTCATCACTTTGCCCAATTGTCTATCCTGTGCTCACACCTCACAGCTGTCCATCCTGTGCTAACTCACACCTCACTGCTGTCTATCTTGTGCTAACTCATACCTCATAGCTGTCTATCCTGTGCTCACTCACACCTCACTGCTTATTCTTATAGTTTTATAAGTTTTCTACAGACCAGAAGAGCAATCATTCTAGCTTCCTTTTCTTCTAGAATTTTTTGCCCATTATATTTCCACATACATTTTAGAATATGCTTTATAATTGACATGCTAATTAAATTGCAGTTAATGGTTTTATCTTTTAAAAAATCTTATTTTTAAGTTTTCGTCATTAGTAGTTGAAACAAATACACCCATTTGGGAGCATTTTCTCCATATATACTCATATAGTTTATGAAAAATGATGTTTAATTTTTCTTTGTTTTTAAGACAGTTTATTGTATTGTATTTATTTTTGCTTGATTTATTAGACTGTCTAAGATATCCAAGACAAGTTGAATAGAATTGGTCATGAAGGCTTCTTTGTCTTGTTTCTGAAAGGAAACTTCCAATATTTCATCAAGAATATGATGCACCATAGCTTGTTTTGTTGTGTTGTTTATATATACCGTAAGCAGATGAAGAAGAAAGCTTAGCTGAGCTTACCTGCTGCTGTCAAGGCTCTGCTTAGCAGTGGAAGTGGAAGGAATGGCCCATTTCACCTTTACTGGGAACACACATACACGTACACAGACACACAGATATACACTGATACACAAACACACACAGATGCACATACAGACACATATACACACATACACATACACACAGACACACACTGTCTTAGTTAGGGTTTCTATTGCTGTGAAGAGACACCATGATCACAGCAAGTCTTATAAGGGAAACATTTAATTGGGGTGGCTAGCTTCAAGTTTCAGAGGTTCAGTCCGTTATCATCATGGCAGGGAGTGTGGCAGTGTGCAGGCAGATATAGTACTGGAGAAATAACTGAGAGTTCTACATCTTGTAGGCAACATGGAATGGTTTGTCACACTGATCAAAGCTTAAGCAAAAGAGACCTCAGAGCCCATCCCCACAGTGACACCTTCTTTTTTTCCAGAGCTGAGGACTGAACCCAGGGCCTTGTGCTTGCTAGGCAAGCACTCTATTACTGATCTAAATCCCCAACCTCGACACACTTCTTTCAACAAGACCATACATACCTACTTCAACAAAGCCACACCCCCAGTAGTGCCACTCCCTTTGGGGGCCCTTTTCTTTCAAGCCACTACATACACACACAGAAACATATACACTCAGAAACAGACACAGACACACAAAGACACACACACACACACACACACACACACACACACACACACACACACACGGAATGAGGATCAAATCCAGGGATCCAAGTCCTCATGTATACTAGGCAAGTACTCTGCCAACTGAGCTATATACACAGCCTTTTATTATTGTATTTTTGCATGCATTTAAATAAAAAACGATCCCACTTGTGAGAATCCTCATTGTATACTTAGAAATGGTTCAAAGCCTTGTAGTTAAAACTTGAGAAGCTAAAAACAGAGCTTTTAATTTTCTGTAAATATATTTATGATAAATTTAGCACTGTCTGCAGACGGTTGACAGACTTTAGAATGAATAAAGCAAACTAATTAAATATGCTTACATGGATTTCTGAAAACAGGTTCAAAAGAATTTCAATGGGTCACTTAATTCAGTGCCTGACTCCTTGCCTGACCTTCCAGTGTCTCTGGTTCTGTTCTCCCTGATCGTGGTTGACATTATTGAGAAACTCAGGATATACCCTCTAAGAGGGAGTCAACAAAGTAAGTAGCCTTTCAGATATGAATATTAAAATTTTTTGTTTATCTTTGATCTTTCTACTATTCTTTTACTTAATGAAACATTTAATGACAGTGTTTCTTAGGGGTAACATCACTGAGAGAAGATTGTAAATAAAAGATATCTGGACATAAATATTTTAAAACATACTTTGATATCAGTCATTATTACTTATTTGTATACTGGTAGTGCTTATAGATTTATAAAAATACCAACTATTTAATACCAATAAAGTTTAATGTTTACTCTAGCAAGAAAACATTATCGATATATCATTTTAGAGATGTTCTTAAGTCTTTAAATTTAGAAGACTATTTAAGCCTGGTTGGTGTCACATACCCATGTTCTCAGCTGACGAAGGAGGACAAAGAATTGGAAAGAGTCTGAGTTGCAAAGCCAGACCCTTTCTCAAAAAACAAACAATGAAAGTAACAAAAAAGTGGTTTTGTTTGAATATCTTTGCTATAAGAATGAGTGTAATAACTGTAAATCCTACTTACATCTTAGAGAATTGCATATTTCAAATTATGGATTATAAGTAAGCCAAAGTTCACCTTTAGTAAGACAGAGACAAACCACATACCTGCAAAGTGAAAAGTTGAAATTAAATATAGGCTGGCCTTTAAAAATGTTTCTCATTAATTGATTACTCTCTTTGTTCAGACATAAATTCTTTCCGGTTCCATTTGCTGACATGCTTTATTATAAGAATAAAATTTTGTTGTGGGAGTGTGCTTGAAATGGTCAGAGACTGGGAGATCACTCCCCAACAGGTAGATGGAGTAAGGCTTCACAGTGACAAGGATAACGGCCAGAGACAGTCAATCATTTATGGGCCACACACTACCATTATGCTGTCACTCTTGCTCTGGAGATTGAAAGGAAGACTGTCCTGTGGGCCACCTGGAAAGTGGAGTCTTTCATTTTACACTTTGTCCTTGGGTGGGCGATTGTATGACATTATGTTCAACATCATACCGGTGATAATTCAATAACAGCCCAAGGGCCACCTGCTGAGGGAAAGTACTCCCAAGCTCCACATTCCCTCTAAAGCCAAGTGTCTTTATGTTAAATATTTGGGACTCTACAACTTGTTTTGCTCACTTCATCTCTAGCTCCTTAAAACTGCAGATCTGTTTTCAGATTGTTTGTTCTTGAGTACTCTGTATTTTGCATGTCGATGTAAACTTTCTGTCCAAATGAAAGTTCTTTTTTAGAAAAAAAAAAGAACTTTTTAGTTCAAGTTAATGGCACTTTATTGTCTGTAGTGATGATTGTAATCTTTCTTCTGCATCCAGCAGTGATGTTTTGAGAAACTAAATGAAGGCTTTCAAAGTAGTCTTGGGAAGGGGACTAGAACAGAGCAAAGCCCTGAACTTCTTACATGAGACCCTCCCACGGCCCCTTTCTGCCCCAACTTTAGAGGGTTGACTAGCATACACTGTAATAGCTCTGCCATTCAATAATAAAATCACACTTTAAAAGCTAGAACTTGTTCAAAATACCTCTGCAAATATTAATGTTATATATATATTTGATATTTATGTAAAATTTAAACTCAGATACTCTATCCTCATTTCAGTATGTATATTAATACAATAAATTACATGACTTTTGAGTCTATAGTTTATTCTCCTTTATCCTCTGGAAGTTACTGCTTAAACACACTGGTTTTAAAAATCACTTTTTAAAACAGGCTAGCTGTGTAGTCCAGGTTGATCTTTAGCTCATAATCCTCTTGCCTTCATCACCTGAGGGCTTGAATTACAGGTGTGCACCAGTGAGAATGCTGAGGTGTCCAGTGATATGACAGCATGGATTCCGGGTGCAGCGTTTTATCAAGTGAACCTTCATGGGAATAGTCTGCTGGTACATGGATCTCTGTGACATCACAACTTTGTAGATATATGTAGCATCTGCTATGTCCAGATATGAGAACAAATGACAAGAATACAAAAACGAAAAAGCCCAAGGCTCTCACTTCTAGATAAATCTCCTCTTAATGACTACACTTCCATCTCCTCATCCTCCACCGTCTTGTTCTTGCTCCTACTTTAAGAGAAGTCTCATGCTGATTCTTCTGTGCTCTTACTTGTGGGTCTAGACAGTTGAATATCCACCACTTCTACTTTGCGTTCAACAGTCATCTTGCTCTTGTTCTCATTTCCAAGCCCAACTCCTTTGGAGTCTCCTGTGTCCCTGTTCCTTGGTTCAGACTAGTGACTGTCCCAGAATTCCCACTTTAAGCATAATTGTCTTTGGTGTGTGGTTACCCACCATGCTCAGCTCCAAAGAGTTAGCCCTGTGCTTAGCATCTGGAACGAGTCTTAATGTACTTTGAGTGGATTGTCTCTTTTTCGGCCAGTTGGAATGCTGACTTCTTCCCCAGAGTTTTACTTTTCTGGAGAAATTGCAAATGGAAGATAGGATGTTTTGTTTGGAAACAGCCCTTTAGCTCCAGAATGTACAGGTGCTAACATATTGCCTGGGTTTTAGGGATTTCAAATAATGTTCATTACTTTCCACTGGACAACACACTGTCCTCTCCTACCAATAGATCCGAAGCTGAATCTAGTAGAGTCAGATTCCTTTTGAGAGAACTTTTTCTAGAGGAGTCATAGGTCTCCTTACTTCAGGATTTATAATAGATATTCCATTGCCTGAATCCTAATGATGCCTATCATTGGATTTCTCCCCCTTGCCTCTATCAGGATCTCTCAACCCCACAGAAACAGGACGATGCAAGCATAAACACAACAACAGCCATGCCTGAGGGGGAGTTTTTAGTCTTCTCAGCAGAACTCAGTTAAGCAGAGTCTGTAACCCGGGTTGGACCCCGTGTTACAAAACATTAAGAGTATATTGGGGAAGTGCTCTAGGGTCTGTGTGTAAGGTACTATTATGTTGAACTACAGGTGAAGGAGCACTCAGGCCATCTAAGGGGTTAGAAGTCAGCAGAGACTGAGAGAGAGGCCTCTGTTTTGTAGGGGTTTGTAGGTGGACATAGAGAGGAAACTTTCTCCATAGAGTAAGCTTGGACCTCATGGAGGTCGAGAATGCATGTAACCCATGGGTGTGCTCGAGAAGTAAAAAAGTGACTTGGTTTGACGTCACACCATCAGTCAACAAAGCTTTTGCTGGAACAGAGGTTGCCTTCTTGAAGCCACCTATGACTAGCTTGTCAATTTGTCACTTTGAAGGCGTGCTGTTTCGGTGAAAACGCTGGGGGAGAGGACTTGGAGAAGGAAGTGAGGGAGGTTTAATTAGATAAGAGGTCTCGGTCTCAGTCCCTGCTTCAGCCAGACAATGGGGCTTTTGTTTAGGAGATGTTTTATATAAAGTTCTGTCTGGAGATAACAAAGGTCTTTCTGCCAAAGGCTTGAAGACCGCTAATTTAGAGCCGTAGACTCTGTCTCCTGTAGAGCAGTGTCATGACTGGAGTAGCTCAGTCACTCTATACACCTGGCCCCGGGGAAAGCATGGCTCTGTATCATCTAAAGGCAGAAGGAGCCCCACGCAAAGCCTCATCATGGCTCGTGCTGCTCAGGGCCTACGTCTACTAAGCCTGTAGGCCTAGCAGGCCTATCCTGATGGAACACACAGGGTCGAGGCACAGTGCTCTTGCAAATCACAAAACTTTTTCATTACAGTATTTTGAACCCTTTCATTTTGACTGCTTTATTTCTCCCATACAATATATATTCATCTAAAGAGGTTATAAGATAGAGGTCTTAAAAGGGAAAAAAATTAACCAATGTAACTCTGCAAGCTAGAGACTTATAATTGATGGGATCTTGTTACATATTCAGTTAAAGGAACTTACTTTGTGATTTTCCCCTATAGTGTGTGGTGGGCTTGTTGTTCTTGTTATTTTATCGACTATACCACCATTTTTATTGGTCAAATAATGTTCCATTATGTTAATGACTCGTGTTGTGTCTAAGTCACCTATTGTTATGCATCTAGATTTGTGATTTATTCTTTTTAAAATCTTTCTATTATAAGGCGCTGCTGTTACAGAAGGATAGGGGCATGGCTAGGGCAAGTCAAGCAATGTCTGTTTGACTCAGGAAGGAGAGCCACATAAAGGGCAGAGCACATGGATAGCACAGTGCAGGTGGTCTGCTTTAAAGTGACGCTGCACTCTGTGTGGGAATTAGAAGCCACTCAGTGAGGCAAATGGCAAACAGGAGCTGGGAATGGGAAGAGTTAAGCACCTCTGGACTGTAGCCTAAAGATGTCAGGATGATGACTGCAGAGTGTCCTCAGAAGACCTAGAGCATCTGTTCGTGCCCAGACTCCTTGGCAACCATGTTGCCAGAAGACAGTGACTACCAGAGGCTGACGGCTCACCCAGGGAACTAGAGAAGGGGATGGTAAGCCAGTGTGGTGCGTGGCAATAGTGGTTGGACTGCCTTAGAGCCTTCTGCATACTCAGAGAGCCCTTGCTGGAGATGAGGTCAGCAGGCTATTTGAGTGGAAAACCTCAGCGCTCTGCAGAGCAGAGGCGGCGCCAGGTATGATGTTGGCAGGGTAAGGTTCTCAAATAAATCTGCTCACAAGGGCCCTAGTCCAACTCCTTCTGTGCCCCTTTTTTTTGACTCACAGTCCTGGGCTAGGCACTGCAGGGACCTCAGCAGCACAGGTGAATATTTCTTTAGGTTACATGCTCCCGTGTCAGGTTTCTGACTCAATGTCCACGTTAAGACTGTAAGGCTCTGAATATACGCAACCAAACTGCTCCCTTCCAGAATCCTCTAATTCAGTTCCTAAGCAGTGGTGTCAGCATGCACACTCACCTTCTCAACTTTGTCTTTCTGTTTTTGCCAGTTCCAGAGGCGAAATAACATCATGTCTATGACTTTCAGAATTTGCAATTGTAAAATTTATAGTGGTATTCAACATGGTTTCATTTCATTGGTAATTTTTAGTTTTTAATAATGAAATACTATCTTTTTCTTTGTACTGGGTGGTTATGACACGA